AGCCTTCCCCCCCCCGTTGTCCTGTCCCTGCGGCCCCTGCCGTGCGGCCGCGGCGAGGCCCTCTCCTGCCCCCCTCGCTCTCACTTGGCTTCTCTGCGCAGCCCACCAAGATATTCAATTACATGAAGTGGCGCCGAACGTGCGACGGGCTCTTCATCGTCTTCTCGGCCGTTTTCCTCTCCCCCCGCCTGCTCCTCTTCCCCTACAAGTGAGTCTGCGCCGGAACGTGGCTCCTCACCCAGCCTCGCCGCGGCGAGGCCCTCTCCTGCCCCCCTCGCTCTCACTTGGCTTCTCTGCGCAGCCCACCAAGATATTCAATTACATGAAGTGGCGCCGAACGTGCGACGGGCTCTTCATCGTCTTCTCGGCCGTTTTCCTCTCCCCCCGCCTGCTCCTCTTCCCCTACAAGTGAGTCTGCGCCGGAACGTGGCTCCTCACCCAGCCTCCGGGGGGGTCTGGAGCAGCCGGCCCGGCCCGAATCCCCGGCATGGCCCTGCTCCCCCCGCCCCAGCATCGGCCCCTCCCTGATGGGGCGCAGCACGAGCATCTGGAGCCAGCCCTGCTCTCGGGGCCTGGGCGGCCGACAGGAGTTGCTGCAGAACGGCCAGTCTCCCCGGTTCGCTTTCAGCAGGGCCAGACCGCGCGAGGCGCCCTAGAAAGAAGTGGCGAGTGCGGAGAGGCGCCGGCCCAGCAGGAGGGCGGAGGAGAGGAGGGAAGGTCCAGGCAAGGCAGGGGGCTCAGAGAGCTGCTGGTTACTTTCCCATGTAGACCACGTAGCTCCCAGCCCCTCCAGCCCGGCTGGGCTGCACAGCAGGAGTCGGGATGGGGGAGCAGTTGTCTGTAGATCAGAGGGACCCAGCTGGCCGGCCCCTGTAGTTTGGTCTTGGAGGAAAGAAGGGGAGGATGGGCGGGGAGAGAACCAGGCGTGAGGGGAAGGGTGTGGCTCAGCGTCCCCTGGGAGCCACGTGCCTGTGTGGCCGCTCAGGAGAAATCCCCCGTGCCGCCCGGTTGATTAGCAGAGCCCAAGCTTGGTTTTGTGTTTCTCCTGGTGGTGCACGTGCCTCGGTGCACATAGCAAACGTATTCTGCATGTGCATAGAAAAGATGAGCGGGAACGTTGGCGTGGGGCCTGGATTTTAGCAGGCGGGGGCATGTGAGTGAGGGAGCAGCAGGTCCTGTGTCTAGCCCGGAGAGACCTGAGGGGAAAGCCCAAAGCCCCACTGGGGGGGGGGGGGGGGGGGGGGGGGTGGGGGATGGTTTTTCACAAATTTATTTCTCCCCCTTTTTCCTCCAGTTTTACTCCCAACACTTTGAATGAT